GAGATTTGTAATGTCTATTCTGAATTTAGGCTACTTTTCTATATATCATAGGTCATTCCTTTTCACCAAGCTAATCATATATGAAAGACAATACCTTATATTTTGCTAAATTGTTTCTTCCAGAAAGCTGTACTGTCTTGGCTGGTACAGTTTGATCTTCTGTTAAGTTACCTTTATTATTAAACTGTGTGCCTGAATTCCCATTTGAATTTGTCTGTCTCTCATTGATTTTTCTTCTGCCTTTCTTCTTTAGATAAATGTCTGGCAATTTCTGCCCCTTTGAGGTATTTATACATTTCAATCGTACTATTTTTCAATCTTCTTTTTGATAAACTAAGCAGATTGAGCTCTTAAAGTCTCTTACTTTAAGAAAATTTCCCTAACTCTCAGATCATGGTTTAGTGGCTTTGTTCAGTACCAGTACCTTTCCTAATGCTTTAATGTCCTTTTAAGACTTGGACATGGACTTTGATGCAATGTCCCAGAAATGGTCTCATTAATATCATATAAAATAATAAGTGACCTTCATGCTTCTATTCACTCTTTCAATCTTTCCACAACACTGGATAACACAGTAGTGCAGTGAGAACTTTAACACAACAGTGCTGAGTCATTCAACATGAATTCTGAATCCTTCTTCAGACTCAGCTGCTTTCTCCAACTCTGCCCACATTCCCAATTCATCTCTCTCAATATCCTTCCTCTGTCTGTTTTAAACTGTTCTACTTAAATGGACTGAACTTAAGAAATGGGTTATTTTCTTGCCTTCATCAATATTTATACCTCTGTCAATTTTTTTTTTTTTTTGCAATTCTTAGTTTTAAACCATCAATGATTTTGTGTTTTCTTTCCAGATCATAGATGGCAGTGCTGAACACCATTCTTACTACAACTCCCTGCAGTAGCTTTTTGTCTAGAATTTAGGATGTGGGTGCTGATCTAGAGAAGCTGCATCTTGGCTGTGCCGGGCTGCTTCTTACTCTCTAACATTTATATCCCACTGTAAGCGTCTTCAGCTTGACCTAACATTTTCTGCCTCAAATATGACTTTTGGTAGGTCATGCACTGTCACAGACCTGTGATTCAGGATGTTTTCCTATCTCAGTCCATGAAATTCCAACTTGACAGTCTTGAAGGCATGACGCAAAGCTCATCCCTCCTCAGATTTTAGTTGAGCACTGATTTAACAGACAGAATAGACCAAAGGCAGGAGTAATTATAGTCCTGGTGATTCTAATTTTCTGTTCATGCCTGGTTTTGTGTAACAGCTTATTTGGAACAAAAATTCTTACCCAAACTGTTGATGGTGTAAATTCAGCCAGTCACAAATGATTTTTTGACTACATCGTTTGACAATATTTTCCATTTTTTTCTTGATTTTTGTCCACTATTTTAGTTAACAAATTTCTTTTTAATTGTTTGGCAAGGCTTAATTTACATTGTAAAGATGTTCAGGATGCATTCAGGAAAGTGAAATAAAGTACTGCTTTAAGTCTGAAATTGGAAAATGGTTTAAAACTTTATAACTGTTAGTAATATTTACCAATAGCCCACAAGAACAACACAGAATCACCATGAGGGCTAGCATTCTTGTTGGTAACTTTTCCTGGTAAAATATGAATAGACCAGAAGACTGGGAGGTCATAATCTCTCTCCAATAAAAGACTTCAGCAATGGGAAGCCTTCACTGCCTCTACCTGTGAACAAAAATGTACAGCTTTCCTTCTTGGTAATTTAATGTTGCATAATGACTTTATGTTAATCACAAGTCTATTGTAGCTTACTTTTGAATGCACCACAGGATAAAAGTTTTGCTGATATTAAATTCTTATAATTCTGCCTGTGAGAAAATGCATGCACAAATTCTTTAAAAAAATGCAACAGGTCAGAGTAAATTCCCTCTAGAGTTGTGCAAAGCCACTCCTGGAATTATGAAATAGTTGTGTATCAAGGAGGAAGCTATGTGCATTAACACTAAAAGGAGCTAAATTCATGCTTTATGAAAGGAGTGTAACTTTCTCTAACCACTTAGCCAGAGGCTTATTTTTCAGAGGCAATGTACAATAAAACTGAAGACTCCTTACCATGAAGAATCTTTATGTTAATTTGTAAACAGAAAACCCATACTTTGCCAGGTAGGCCTTCCTAAAATCCACTGCCTTACTCAGGTTTTACTATATTACCAAGTCTTGGTCTTTTTTAACTAGAAGAGTATTCCATAAGTCAGCTCGGATAGATGACAGTATTATTTGTCCAACAGTATTCTTGAAATACATGTTTTCAATTAAAGGTAATTTGAAAGGGCAAAATTCTGCAGTGCTCAACCAGCTTTTACTCAGTAACACACCAAGCTGAGAAAAAGGGAAAACATTCCTTGAAGAAATATTTAGTTACAAATTACAGCTGATTTCTAAAATAAAACTTGCTCATACGTAATGTATTAATTATGCTGAATATATTGTTTTCAGAAGCAGGCAATAAAATTATTCAAGATATTCTGAGACTTTTAATCAATTAATGGAAGCAAATATTAATGATGGCATCATACAAAAAGGTAAATGCCACTTTGAGAAAATCCAGTCACAGCAATTACTATTTTTCCTATTCACCATTAGTTAACTTAATTTCAAAGTACTCTATTCCATGGCAGCCTTTAAAAGTAACAACCACAAGTACAACAAAGAAACGTTTAGAAAAAGTTTGAGAAGTGAAAAAGGGACAAATAAACAAATCCTCCATTCAGAGAAAGTGATCGATATTGAAGCTAACAATGGGCCTTTCTATATCTGTGTCCTGGAGAATTTATTTATATCCAGAATAAAAATATAGGATATATATATTGTGTAGTATAGGACTTCTACATACCCTATTGAATACAAATGTAACTTTCTTATACAAGAGTATAAGAAAGAAATCTAAGCGGTTTATATATATATATATATGTATTTACACAGTATCTTGATTCTCCTGCCTTGGAAATAGATAAAATCCAGCAAAGTGTAATTAGAGACTCATATTTTATTTGCTTTATAACCACGTATGATGTTTTCAAAAATATAAATGACTATGAGTTGCAATAATGTGATGAATCAGATATCATTCAGAATGATTGATAATGAAAATAATGTCAGAGGCCAATAGGATAATTTCAAATTGAACTAGAAAAAGAATATGTTAAGTACTTACTTTCTCAGAAAGGGAAATACATTTTCCAACTCGGGGAAGAGATAAAGAACTAGGTTAGCTACTGAAGGAGATTAAAGAAACATTTTTACTGAAGGATAATACTGAAAGAAATACCAAAGTATTCAGAACAATTTAGAAATATCCAACAATTTAGAAATTTATGAACAATCTAGAAATATGGAAATCAAATTACACATAGAATAGAATAAACACTAGACAAGCGAGTAAGCAGAAGGCTTAATTTTTAACCCTCTGATTTCAGTTAATATTACAATTAAAAGACTTAATTGCCAGTTTAAATTGAAATATGAGTAAACCGCAGCATTCTAGAGGTTTCTATGTTCATATTCTGTGTGTCCCCAAATTTGTAGCACTCAAGACTTAATATGAAATAATTTTTTATTTAAGATACTAAATCCAAATTTCAAATTTGAAGACAGATTTTTTAGTAGACCTTCTAAATGGAAGTTGCCATAAGACTGTAACTTTTCATGTCCGGAGTAACACAGTCTTGGGAGAAAAAAATGGCATTCCCAGTCTGCACTTAACATGGCATCTGCATACACACATACCTGTATGGAATTTTTCCATTTTGGAAAAAATCCATCCATTGTTAACAAGAAAAGTTCAGCATAGGTTTTTTATGAGATAGAAAATTCCTAAGAGTTTTACATTATTCCCTGTGTTTACTTCTAAAGAAAGGCATATTTAAGCACTGTTAAAAGAGTGACTTGGCATTACTAGGAGACAGTGAAGTGGGTAAGTAAAAGAGACTCACATCCTTGTGCAATAGATTTTTGACTAGAAGTCAGCACAAACAGGAAAAACTCTTTATCTTTTTTGAGACTCCGTAAGCCACAAATGGTTTTATTTGCACTGTGTATCACAATGTTACTCAAAATTTTATTTATATATATATTTACTGAATGTGTTGTTTTTTGAATGTGTTGGCCAGCACCTGAATAAGAATTCCACAATAATAAAGACCTTTTCTTCGGGTCCACATGGCTGATCGCGGTGCTGATACTTTTCTCTCTTGGCATGTGCAGAGCACACCTTAGAATGTCAGTGGGAGTTCTGCATACATATGGAGAGGAGGCTATAGGAGATGACATTTGCCATGTGGCCCTGAGATGAAAATTTTGCCCTAAGATAGTTCCTTCAGTAAGTTATGGGTTTTTTTCCACTGCAGCAGTCACTTTTGTTTTAACAGAAAACAAACCTCTAAGACAATGTTAAAGAATACCATTTGCCAAGAGACTGATATGTTGTATTATGTTTAAATATCAACATAAAATATTGGCTGGACAAAAATTGGTGGTGGTCGTACTATTCTATGAAAGATCCTTACTACTTTTTTTTTTCCCTGATCTAGGCTTCTATTACACCACACCCAGTTAAGCAGACCAATCTTAGAGTAGACTCCAAATTATGACATTCCACATGCACAGCTATTTGTGTAGACGACATTATTTAACTGTGATAATGAATTGATTACTGTTGACTGGCAGTGTTAATCTCCAGAAGTCCTGAGGAAGAGGTAACAGCAACTTGTAACAATGCAGCTTAGGAAAATAAAATTTGCATATAAAATGACAGATATAAAAAGAACTTACTGTTTCCATTTCTTTGCTACAACTATTTTTGAAGCATAAACTAGCTTGAAAGGCAATATTAGCTTTGCTATTTTCCCGTTCATACAAGAATTAACTAAGTGATTGACTGTGTAAAATTAAAGTTTCCCTAACAAAATCTCTAACAAAATGTTTTGTTCTGGTTTTTTTGTTTGTTTGTTTTTCCTTGCTGTTAGCTTGGTAGCCACAAAGGAAACAGACAGTGCAAGATCTCGTAGCATGCCAATGTCGCCATCTGATTTCCTGGATAAGCTAATGGGTAGGATGTCAGGCTACGATGCAAGGATCAGACCAAATTTCAAAGGTAATTTCAAACCTAAACTTTCAGGTTTTCAGTATTTCAGTATTTCTTCTCACAGAAATGCAGTTTCTGGAACAAATATGAAAATGAAGAAGTACACTCACTGGGAAAAAAAAAAGTGCCTTCTTTTGCCTTTCTTTGCTATGACAGTTCATTTCAGTAGCAGTATGCTCTATTCCTGTCACTTTCACAGCTGCCCAAATGCAGACCTTTTGAAAATATAGCTTATCACTAGATTTGAATTGTCTAATAGGTGTTGTTGTTTTTGTTTGTTTGTTTGTTTGTTTCTGAAATGCTTGTTAATGGATTCAAATTCTCACCTTGGACTACCATAGCCCGAAGCAGTCCAGAAAGCAAGTTCTGTGAAAGACAAGCCAAAAGGAAGAGTGTGTTAATGACATGACCATCAGAGTCAAACTCAAGAGAGCTTATCTTAGTTACTGAATCTATCAACAAATTCTCCTGTGACATTAGGTTCCTCACTCCTGTGCCCCAGTTCTGCTTCGAAGTGGCAAAAGGGACTATCTTTCCTCTTGTTCCTTTCCCTGTTCTCAGTTCTCCACTGAAACTGCAGGTTCTCAACACCTGGAATTGTCTCTTGGTGTGTGCCTTTTATGCACTTATCACAAAGGAGATTCAAACAAGACAAAGGAGATTCAAGGAAGATTGGAAGTCCAAAATTTGCAAATGCAATGATTACATCTTCCGAGGGTCTTAGCACAAACCATATTATCCAGACTCAGGCATGCTGAAGTAGAGTATTTAATGAAGGATTATACAAACTATATTATTATACAAATATACAAACTATTATACAGACAAATACCACCCCTTCTAACTTTTGCCATCAGCGAAATTTAGAAGTTTAGTCTTCTTTTTTTAGAATGCAGAGAGTTCCAATAATATAGTGGAATTATATTTAACTCTTTTTCTGAATCTTTAAATCAAGTTATCAGTTTTTAAATTCTCTAGAATATAAATATTTTTTGAAATAATAAATCTACTGTGATTAAAAATTATATTATTCTTACTTTGACTTAGCTGCCTCCTCCTATGCCTATCTTCTTGGGTCCAAGAGATTCTCTTAGCTCTAACGTTTCACTATAAGGCAGGTTTTACTCCATGTTTACTACAAAACTTTTCTTTCATGTAGACAGGCCTTCCTCCAAGTCATCTGTCACTGCCTTTCCATCTTAATTCTTATTCAGCACTAAATTTTATAATTTTTTGACATCTCCAAGTCCCAGAAACTTAGGTGGTTATGACTCTAAAGCCATTGCCATTTGCTGTTTTTGACAGAATTTGCCCAGACTGATTCATAAAGATCAAGTAAGTAGTTTGTCAAATGTCTTCCTCACCAGTAAGCCATAAAAAGTTGGTGCTGTATATATAAACTTATTACCCAGAATTTACTGCAGCTGGAAAGTCTTTGCTTTTAATAAGTTAGCCGTGCTGATATTTCTCAGAAAATGATAAACATGCACCGGAAATTCAAACACACTGCTGAAAGATTTACAACAGTGATCAATATCCCTGATGACCACGCAGAATAAGTCCCTTGGACTTTCCTTGCCAGAACTACTCTGAAGAATGTTGCAGTGCCTGGCTTCCTGGAGGGTTAATGTATCAAACAATATTTGCAAAGTAATGCAAAACACTGTATTTCTAAAATCGGTAGCTCTTAAATTATTTTTGCTCCTTATTATCTTGACTCGTTGCCACAGTATACTCTTTAGCATGCAAACTGCAGTTTCAACCTAAGGTAAAGCTGTGCTGGGCAAAAGACCTCAGGCAAAATATAAGCACTGCAGTTTTTCTTCTTTCTTCTTTGAGTGTCCTGGAGTCCTACAAACAAGTGTTTAAAAATGAGGAGCTTACAGCTTAGCAATTGATTTGGGGATTAGATTTTGGAGCTTGTCATGGACACCATGCAATCACAATCTTCTGATGGGGCTACAGTGAAGAATAGGCAGATGGTTTAGAGATTAGCAAATTCAATACAGTACATTTTGAAAGAATAACTCAAAAGTTTTAGAGCCTTGTTTTGTAACTATTGAAATTTAAAGAGACAAACCCTAATCTGACATTGTTCTTTTTCAAAAAATGCACATTCTAAATATTCTAGACAGCTATGCAGTTTGAACAAATATGCCCAGAATAATTCAGATCTATCACTAAGAATAAGTATCTCCTTAAGTGACTTTGCCACTTTCTGGTTAGTTTTATGGGTCCTAGAACAAGCGCTGGGGCTTAATGCCTTATTGAGTTTTTAATCTGGCAACAGTTTTAAAGAAATAGAATGAGGACTAATAAGATAACTCAGACAATCATTTTAAATCATTTGTTCTTCTTATAAAATTCCTATGTAGACAAGATCTTTAACTACCATCTTTTAGTCATAATTAATCTTGGTAAATAACACATAATTATATATTTTGTCTGAGTGCTCTGCTTTTGGATAAGGAATTCTGCATATCTGGTCTTGTTCAACAGAAGTAATAGAGAAGATTATTGGTATTTATTAAGCTATGGAATAAAACAGAAAATTAAGAACTCTTGGGAAATCTTTGTGCCAGTTGCAAAATATTTTTATTTCCAGTACATCAAACCTATAGCAAGGTGCTTCTCTTACTCAGCTGTTCCACATCCCAGACTATATCTATTCCTGCAAATACGGGAAATACTTCACTGTCTTTCAAATTTGGACACAATTACATAATCTGTATGTAAAAATTGTCACGGCCTCAAGATGCTCAGAATTAACCTGATACAAAAGAGGTGTTATATTCTTAAATCTATACAGTCCAGATTGTAACCTTTGATAACAATCTATTAAGGTGGAAATTGGGGGATTTACATAGGAAAGTGTAAAGTGTTCTTTGCCCTGGTATTACCAAACAATAATCAGCAATCATTAGTTTAGAAACTTCTTAAGTCAGGACTTAACTGAAAAATTAATTTACATAAATATGTTCTTCTGATCACTTCTGGAAGTTGTTTATACTTTTGGCCTTTCCAATATTTTATGGCAATAAAATCTTCATGTTTTGGAATAGTGAAAAGTATCATTTTTTGTTTGCTTTGAATTTGGTGACTATTTTACTGATTTTATTGCCATATGACATATTAAGAAATGGAGGAAAAAGGTTAATTCCTTTTGATCTTTACAGAATTGTATGCTTATATATCGCTCCCTACCGCATCCCTTTTCCAAGGTGAAGAGTTCTGTTCTACTTAAGCTGGTTTTGTGTGGCAGCATTTCATAGAATTTGTGATCCTTGTTTACCTTCTTGACATCTCTTTTCTCCCTAATATATCCTTTTGAGGCGGACAGAGGAGAAATTTTGAAGGATTCAAGACAGAAGTTCATGATCTACTTGCATGGTAGTCCATTTTTTTAATGTATTTCTTTACATTCTCCTATCTTTATTGATTACAGAGCATGCTTCCAGAGAACCATCCATAATTAATCTAGCCTCTCTTTCCTACATGGAAATCATTAATTTGGAGCCCATCAGTAGGAATGCATAGTAAGGATTATTTGGCATTTGACTGACACTGAATTTTGTCAAACATTTCATTGCTTGATAGCTCAGTATTTTGTGATTTTTCTGCACCTCCTTGCAGTCAGCTGTATATACAACCACCCTAAATAATCTTACACCAGAAGCAAAGTTATATTGCTAGATATTCTTTTCAAGGTGATTAATATTAAACTACAAGTATTCAGTGCAGATCCATGGGGGAACTCACCAGCAATCACCTCGCACGTTGAAAAATGGTTATTTCTTCCGAACATTAAATAACCTTAAAGCAAAAGGTCTATAAGAGGACTGTCTCTCACTTCATCAAGACTAATATCTTTAAAAAGCCTTTGACAAAAGATATGTTGAAAAGTTTTTGAAACTCCAAATAAGCTATTTTAATTAAATCAATTATATATTACAGCTAAAATTAATATTTATTTAATTAGGTTACCTTTGTCCACATGCTCATCAACTCCTTCAGAGAGCTTCAGTAGATCTGAGAGATGTTATTTCAGCAAAAATAGTATTAATCCATATCTCTTAATCATAAGAGTTCTCATCATTTCTACCAGTTTGGCTGGTACAGAGGTAAGGTTTACAAGAATAAAGTTCATTGTCAATGTCATCCACCATCATACCTGGAGTCTGTTTTTCTTTTTTAATTCAAGTTATACTTGCTGGACATGGTACACATTTCCACTGATAAAAAAACTCATACAGGTGATAGCTGACTCACAGTCATTCGTATTTCCACAATTTTGCAAAGATTTTTATAGTGTCTGGCTTGATATCACCTCAGCCTGTCAGTTTGTTCCTGTTCACTTAGTCTGAAATATCTACTACAGTCCTCATACAAATCTTCTGTCAGAATGGCTCCAGTATTTGACAAAGCTAGCAACTAGAGACAAATGCCGCTACAAAGACTTCATTTAGTTTTTCTGCTCTGACCTTCTTCACTTTCATGGATAGTTTTGTATCTTAATCATCTTCTCTTGACTTCACCTTCCAGATCTTGGCAGGATTCTATTTTTAATGCCTTGCAGACAGTTATCATTGTTAGCTTTTCTGTCTCTAGTGAGTTTCACCTCTATATTTCCCTTGTCTTTTATTTATGTTCAACTTGCCTGAGTTCCTGTGTTTGAATATGACTTCCAGTTTTAACAGCTTCATTTATGCTTCTTTTTGACCATATTTTGGGAAGTTCATTTTTACTTTCAGCACAGTATCTTTAAGTAATGTCTAAACCATTTGCAAGCTGCTTTTAGCTTCTTTTGTGCTCTTTTTAACTAGCTGTTAACTGTATTTTTGTAATGCTGCTTTTGAAATTAAGCATCAGTGTTGTAGTGATTTAGGGCTTTTTCTTTATAAAAGCAACTATGTTTGTTGATACAGAAAACTTACACTTTAAAGCACAGTATTATTTTAAACAAGATAGTATCACACCAAATTTGAAATGATGACAAGTACTACAACATGAAAGTGTTTGAAAGGAAAGCTGCCTGGCAAACAAATTATCTGACATAGCTACAAAGTACAATTTTCTCTGTGACAGTTTTTAGTGACTCTGCCTTTGTTCATCTCCCCTGGTTTGTTTTTTTTTTTCCCTTGATCCTTTTCAGGAGTTGTCAATGTCAAGCTTTTACTGGATTCTAAGAAGTATTGGATATGCTCAACAGCTCTAAATAATTAACCAAATATCAAAGTGAAAATAGTGTCAAAGTGACTGCAGAGTGATACCGCCTTACCTGAGAATTCTGCTCCATAGGTGTAGTCTTGCGTATTACAATGACTGAAGTACACATAGTGATGTTTTGTTGCAGTTGCTATATAGTACTTCAAAACAATTATTGCCTTGAGGAAAGGAAGCTGGATGTTCCAAATTGTGTCCTGTTGGCAGAATTTTTAATGATGTTCTGAATCTTCAAGTATTTAATGTCAAGTTCATTGGTCACATTAGATTTTGCTACTTGCAAACTACCAGCAGTGGCAGAGCAGCTTCTTACTTCAGTGACCCTAAAAAAGAAATATTACATAAGGGTTTGTAAGACTAGTCCTCAAATTCCAGATATAGATCTTTCATTATGAGTGACTGCTTACACCTGCAAAAAGAAATCAGGTTCTCCAATGCTGAACTGGATTATTGATATAACAATATCAAGGTGCAGGAGGGTGACAGAAAAACTTTGTGATGGAAAAACCTTGTTTCTGCTGTACACAAACTGAAATTGATAGGAAATAATGGAGAAGTTAGCATGTTCTACCACAATGCCATTTTTAGAAAGACTTTCAGAGAAGTAATTTAAAACCTTTTCCATGAAGAGACAATTCATTGTTCAGTTATCATAATGACTGCTCTGCCACTACTGGTGCTTCACAAATGCAAGGTAAGACAGAACAATAGTTGACTGTAGACCCATGGTAACGGAAAATTCAGTTTAAATGGATTCTTAACCATTTTGTGAATTTAAGAGAAATGAGAATATAATCTCAGTCATTCTTTCTTATCCACATTTGTTCCTGTAAGCAGTAGAGATAAGAGCAACAATAATGTATTTCTGTTACCAGTGATGACAGACAACATTAAAAGTAGCAGCTGCCTTGAGTAAGAAGGGTCACTTTTTTCCCTAATTGTTGTAAGAAGTGACATACATAGCTCACTGAAATGCACATAAAAATATGAAATATATATTTCAAATGGGATGTTGATTTTTTTTGCGTAGAATCGTCTGTGCAAGTTTATAATGAACTTTCTATTTTATTGCTAGAACTGGTCAGTCACGTAGTGTACCTTTGAGAAAAATCAAAAGGAAAATTATTAGAAATTATTCAATTTGATTTTGCATTAAATGAGTTTTGAATGTAGCATTATTTCCTTCTAAGTCAATAAACATTGTTTCATAATGGTTTATATTTCATAGTCACTCAATAAGCAATGATTCTGGAACAGGGACTGGTGTGTTTTTTCTTTTGCAGGTCCTCCAGTTAATGTCACATGCAACATATTTATAAACAGCTTTGGATCCATTGCAGAGACAACCATGGTAAGATGTTGTTTAAACAATGTTTAAAGTTCAAGTTAAATATGTTCAATGAGCTCAAAAGCTAGCTAGGGCTTCTCTTCACCTGGAACTAAATGAAGAAGGAAATCCACTTCTGAGAACAGAAAGTGAGAACATTTAATTTGGCAACTGATTTTTTCTGACAGAAAATCCATCATTATACCATCAAACACACAAGTAAAAGTAAAGCCAAAGGTTGTTTTTTTTATTTCTCCATAAGTTTTATTTGACAGTTGTAATGAACTCATTATTTTCAATTAGATAGGCATTAGTTCTATAGTGTTCCACCTTTCTAACCTCAAGAATGTCAATTCATTAAGTTGCTTTGTTAATAATATCTTATAATTTCATTATATACAATGCATATGGGGATTTATACTTTATTTAAAAAATCCTTCTTCTATAGAGCTATTGCGCAGAGATAATAGAATAACTAAAATGGTGATCTGATATATAAAATTTCATTATGAAGTCTAAGAGTGGGGTAAATATAAGTGGATTGCACACTTTTTGTACCTACACTTACAATTGTCTATTAAAGAAAGGCAGAAGATAGAGTACAAAAAGACTGGAGATTTTAAGGAAATAAGGGGAAAGAGAGGTCAAAGTCTAAAGATAATAAAACTAGATATTGAACTGTGAACTGACAAAAAAAACCTTTGATAATCTTATTTAAGAGGTGAAACATATATGCTAATAACTTGGACCAGAGATTTACTCATTAAAATTTGGTGAGAGAGGAGATATAGGCATTCTTTCTCCATAGAAGTGCCTCACATATTTTGAAGAAAGGCAAATAAACAACTTTGAAAACAGTTACATAGTAATTTGGGGACAGAGAGGGTTAAAATATAGAGAGATGAAGGAAGAACTGTGGGAGCTTGTAAGATCCAAATATAGTAAATACTCTGAAATCCCAACAATTTCAGATGTCAGGATACAGACTTGGAATGACAGAACACAGACTAAAAATAATTGGTATAGCCAAAAAAAAAAAAGAAAAAAAAAAAGATAAAGGAATAATACTAAGCAAAAGCCATCCTTCTGAATTACCAGTAAGAGCAAAAATGAGATCTTTGAATGTAGCCGAGGACCTGTAGTTAGGAAATCAATAGCATAAATTCATAAAGTCAAATGCTTATGCCCCTTACCTCCAAAGTGATATTCACAGCTGCCTGATCTTTACCTGCCTTGGAACATAGTGGTATATGTTACTGAAAGAGGCAGATTATTTTTTTCAGGTAGAAAATTACTTTAATTTATATTTGGGCGCCTTGCCAGATTGCAAATGCCAAACAGATTGACATGGCATCCAAGGAGTTTTATTCAGGTTCGACCAGAGGCTTAAGCGATGCCCGCATGATTAGAATAGTGTTCCACAGCTACTTTTTAATGGCTGTATGGGTGAATCTGGTGCAAAGCAGGAGACAGACCACAGAGTCAGTAAAGTGCAAAGATCCAGCAATTAGATCACTATAAAAAAGGATATTTAGAAAACTGAAGTTGCTACCACTTAAAAAAATTGTCCTGAAATTGGGAAGAGGATGCCTGAGTTCAAATCTCGTGTATTTTCTCTCAAAAAAAAATAGAATTATAAACATTTCCTTTCAGTACAACTTAGTAAGTTAGTACAATATTTCTATCTTATAATGAAATTACATTCTGTTCTGTGTTGCTTTGAAAGCCAGTTAAAACAGTCGAGATAGACTACAACCTGATCTGTAACAAACAGTTCCAGGTAGTATGTTATAGAAAATACCAAACCTGGTTAGAACCACAGGGTTTTTCATTCTATCAATTATATGCATTCAAAAACTGGACAATTAAGCACAAGCTTGACCTTAGGACAAATGCTGCCTTCACGATGTTGGTATTCTGTTTAAAATGTATTCACTGATACAGTTCAATTGCTTATGGTCAGCAGCTGTTGACCTCTCAGAGACTCAAGTTTTCCTTTGCAGAACCAATGCTTTTGTGTAGATAGGACTTTCATTTGTGTATTTTATTAGCTTTACTTCTCCCCAACACTGAAGATGAACATCTTCTGAAAAACATGAAAATCTTTCTATCTTAAAATTACAATTAAGAACATCTCTTGCATTATTTTACAATCTGAAATTCTGCATTGTTGAGCAAGAGTCAATTCACTGCAGTTCAGTGTTTTACCAATTGTCACTATTTTATGAATTTTATTTACTGTAGTCCTTAAAATTCAGGTACCTATGTCTTCAGATTTATTCTAGATCTTTACACACAGAAGGACTTATTAGAACAATGTATTAGACTCAAAAAAGGACTTTTATATTCTTGATAAATACTTTTTTCTAAACTGTAAACAAAAGAGTTTAAATAAGCAACAAGTGCAAAATAAAACCTGGCCACTCAGTGGTACCTTGAAGTCTCGCTGGTACTTAAAACTACTAGCTGAATAATGGGATATGCATACAATCTCTTAGCTTTAAAGAAGTCCAAGTACATCAACCCACGTCCTTTACTGTCGTAATTGTTTTTGGCACTGTCAGTCTCTCTTTCTCCCTCTCCGGTTCTCCAAGTCTCTCACTGATGACCAAAATCTTTGAGCTCCCTCTGCTGCCTCGGTCATGTATAACACAGTAAAGAGTTACAGAAAAACAATGGGTTAAAAAAAAACAAGATCGGCTGCAAAATAGCCCGGTGCCAACTTTGTATTTCCGGACTTTATAGTTCTCAGTAAGGAAGAGGAGTTTGTCAGTGTGCAATGGGAACTTACAGTGTGAAGCAGGAATCGGCTTTCGGGCAAGCAGATTCTTTTAAACCCATCCAGGCCTGTTTACTGTTGTACAGCGGGGTCTAACAGGCCAGGAGAGAGCCAAACCAAAAAAGTAGCTTAGTTTGACTTACAGCTTGTCACCTCTTTAAACTGGTTCGTTCTTTCTTTCTTTTCTCTTGTTTTTTACATTTCTTTCAACTTATTAGAGTATAGGTTACAATTATTTCATATTCCTTTTCTTTGTCCCAAAAGACAAATCAGATGCTTCATAGTGGGGAAAAGGCATGCCACCTCTTGCTGGGAAGCTGTGATTCTAGTTGAACCTAGGTAATTTTAAGTGATCATATGAGGAACTTAATTTATGTCATGTATGTTCTGAGGAGGCAGAAAAAAAGTAAATCACATAATTAAAACCAAACTTTCATCACTGGCACCACTTAGGGTCCAGCCTTGCCAATCATTCTATGTTATTGAGCCAAATGGTAGTACCAGATCTGTATATGTCTCGATGATATTCACAAAGGGAGGATTTCACACTCATCCTCTAGCCAAGTAAAACTCTTACTGCTTTGCACACATAAAGGCCAGTCTTTCTTTTTTTACATGTTGTTATTATTCTTTTTTTCACATAAGGATTTAGAAATCTTAAAGAATAGCAGGAGATTAAAAAAATGTGGAAGCCCAGAATAAAACGACTATTTCATTATATGAAATTAAGATAACATAATTAACATAAATTAACATCTGGAGGTTTTTATTTAAGATAAACAGTGACATACCTAAGCACACATAACCTTAAAAATCATGTAAAGTTAAATGTGTATTGGCAGTATCGGAACCATATCCTACAGGAAACCAAATCATTTTCTTTTTGGTGCACTGTAACTTAAATTTCAGGTTTTATCAGAACACCTTCAAAAGTTCCTTACAGAGTTTCTCTTTGTAGCTCAAGCTGTGCTCAGCTTGTATTTGCACTGTATCTCCTAATGCTAAGAGATTTCCTGATTGTTAAGAGCAGTGTCATACATATTGTTGGCAGTTACCAACAAAAAAAAAAGAATATTCAGTCTTACAGAGTGAGATTACTCTCATCAATGCCAACATTTTCAACTACAAATGTTCAGAGATAAAATACTGAATACATGAAGCCAAGGCTACAGAGTAGTTAGGCTATGGGGCAGGTAGTAGGCCATACCAAAAAGCCTCCTTTTATTCTAGCAAATATGACTGACCAACTTCCTCAAGGTTTTCTGAGTTTTAAAGGTCAGGAACAACACTTTGGTCTTAATGCAGATTTACAGCAATATTTACGAAGTATGTATTAATATCCTTAGCATAATGCATGTGCTAAAAGTGCATTGAAAGGGACACTCACTGTGAGACCTAATGGCAAATGACAACAGTGCAGACAATTAACACATTAAAAAGCATATGTCTGTTATTTGTTCCTGCCACATTTTTGCTGATGGGTATTTCTTGACTCGGTCTGAAAAGAGCTGTGTATCCTGAATGTTTTTAGGAAGCAGGTGATAGATCTTTCTGTGCTCCCAGCACTAATGAGGTTATCTTACATTTACAAATGAAATGTGCTTTTAGCCTGCATTAACACATTTTTAAGCCATCATAATTACTCTCCTTTCACGAGTCACAGCTCTTTAATTTCATTAGCTTCATTTTTCTTCAAGTGAGCATTTCTGTTTATGTTCTATTCTACCTATTCTAGGCTGTCTTTAAATAGAGTACTTGAAAGGAGTGTTCACTTATATACATTGCAAAACTTAATGCTGAAGAGTTTCACCAAATATTTTTCCTAAATGAATCATTTAGTTGATTATCTTAAATACAAGTAAATATATGCCTTCCTTTGGTGAAAATATGCTGAAAAATTCTGTGTAATGGATATAGCAATGTGTTAATACTGAAGTGACAGGCAGAATTGCACAATTTTTATCTCAGATGAGTGAACATGCAATAAAGACCACTTTACAGTTTCAAAATTACAAAAAAACTTCATTTTTTTCCCCTATTTAACAATTAACTCCCTTCTATCAAGGCACAGAGAAGTCAACAGATTGTTATTGTATGAGCTTGGAAAGCGGATTATTTAACATCCTTTGTTTATCATAAACTTGCCTCTGCCACCCTGAGCCTGGGTCACAGAGTCAGGAGTAGACAAAGGTTTTTCAAATTCTAGTGGGTCTGCAGCTGTCCAGTTTGTTCCACAACCAGATTA